TGGCTCACGGGCCTAGCCGCTCCGCAGCATGTGGGATCTTCCCGGACCAGGGCATGAACCCGTGTCCCCTGCATCGGCAGGCGGACTCTCAACCACTGCGCCACCAGGGAAGCCCTGTTTTTCTAGATTTTTGACTAATTTCTGAAACACAGTATCTTTCATATCTGAAACATAAGGTAACAGCTTAAATGAGAACTTTTCACTATGTCATCATGGCTACTACTGTAAATTTTAGTGGGAAAAATAGATAGAGGTTGGTAAGTAAAATGTCATTCCACTGACATTCTCTTATGTTCTTAGTTTTACCACATTTAGTAGCTAAATCCATCACAGTCCATGGCAGGACAAATGGAAAAACCCTCCAGTAGACGTCTTTATCACCATCCTAATCTCCTGCGGCACCAGACACTGAATTTAGAGTTCAACTATCACTGAGAATGGGAAATTCTAAATAAATAAATAAATTAGATTGAACTGCTTGTCGAGTTCCAAGTTCTTTAAAAACCTTATCTTATTTAATCATCACTATTATTATTACCCCTAACATACAGAATAGAAACAAAGACTCATGGATAGGTGAAAGTCACTGAAGTTTGCAAAAGGCTTGGTCAGGTCAGAATTCAACCCAAATTTGCCTAACACCAAAGCCCATGCTTTTATTTGTGCAATTCTCCCTTAGTTTGCTTGGTTCTATGTTATACCTAGCACTAAAGTAGAATTTAAACCCTTAGTTCTCGCTCCTGAAATTTTTGAAATTTTTTTCACTTATTTGATCCCAAAATAACAGCAATTTTTTCCACCCCCTAAACCAGTTTCCATTCTCCCTTTTCCCCTCCTCTCTTTTCATATACAAAGAAAGAACTCTGTCTTGTATTCAGACTTTTCTTTTCCCTCTTATTACTATTTCTATTAATGCTACAGGCACATTATTTCTCCAAGTCAAGAGTAAATATAAAATATTTCTGCCCCTTCCCCTTTTCTTCTTGCTGACTACTGAAAGGCCTTGGATATTGATCCCAAAGCTCAAGGACAGTTGTACACACACAATGAGTTAGACACAGCGGTTAGCTTCTTCTCAGCCTCTGGTAACAAATGCTGATGAAGTGTCTGCTGAAAGAGTGTATCTGGCAAATATGATGCTTACAAAGAATGTAGCTGGACACAAAGGAAACCTGAATTTACCTACTTCTTCATTTATATACAGGAAGTGATGAGAACCATGGTAAAATGAAAAAACATGATCTAATTTCATATGGATTTGCTTAGCTTTGAAAATAAGTAAAAGCTAATTTTAATGAAGCTGTTGCTGATGGCAACTCACTGAAGAGCTGATTTTATGATTTATGAATGCCACTTTTGATAGAAAATAACAACACTTGGAACACACAGCTTTATTATATATTCTGAAGTATGGAGAGTTTTCCTCAAAACAGCTAAACACTTCTTTAAAGTCCTTCCCCCAACGTGTGCACTTGCTTATATTTCCAGGATCCAGGTTCTGAAATTCAGATAGTAGGGGGTATTTCATAACATATGAAACCTTGAAAATTGTTGCAAAATAAATCTTACTGAGAAAAAAATAAGTAAAAAAAATATGTGCAGTACTTGGACTGAAAGAAGCAAAGATTTTTCTGTATTTAAATAGGGACAAATAAATCACATGCCTAAGCAAATTCCTTTTTCACAACAGGAACCACACAAGTAGTGAGTATGTATACACATATATGTACAATTACATATATGTATATGTGTACAGACATATAATTTACCTTTAAACATGCACTTAAATTTAAATACATATGACACATATAATATGTACATCTAAAAAAGAGAAAACAAATAAGACCATCACAATCAATGCTTTTCTGTAGTTCTTTGAAATTACTCAAATAATTCAAACATTTGAAAACTGAAAGTATAACTGATAAGCTGTGCAATCCAAGGCTATAGCTCAGCCACATCAGAAATAATTTATTCAACTCCATTTCTCTGACCTTGAGTCAAGACAATGTACTAGAGATCCTGACTCTCTGCCATATGAGAGAATTCACTAATTCAGAGTCTCAACCAACACGTATTCTACAAAGAATTCTGTTCTCTGTAGATCCCAAGTACTCTCAGGGTCTTTATTCTGCACCATCTAATGGGGTAGCCACTACCTATACGTAGCTACTGAGCCCCTGAAATATGACTAGACACATCCTGGATTTTAAAGACTTTAAAAAAGTGAAATATTTCCTTTTTTTAATATAGCTAACATGTTGGAGTTATAATACTTTAGATATATTGTATTTAATAATACATATTATTTAATTAAATTTCACTTGTTTCTTTTTACTTTTTTTTTAATGTGGCTCCTAGAAAATTTTACTTTACATACATGGCTTGTATTACATTTCTGTTGAACAGTGCTATCTATGTCACTCAATCTAGTACTTAGAATCATAGCATTTTTCAAGCAAGTTCAAATCCTTTAAATGGGGAAGCTGTTCTTTATTTAACCCATACAATAATTTTGTGTTGGTCTTATCTTTCCAACTAGATTAGACACTCAGGTGATTAATAAGTTACTTATTGACTGAATTTCATCCATTTGTTCAAAACTACAATCTTAATTTTATCAGAAGAGAAGCTTTATCCTTCATGATCCATGAAACATGTTTGTGTGAGAAGGGTGGCAGAATATGCCACCCTAAAATATGCCTCTTTGGCATAAGGATTATTTTGAACTAAAGGCATTTGAAAAATAGCAAATGTAGGGAGAGGCTTCCTCTGAACTCCCTTTATTTGCCTAAAGACAGAGCCTCCAAAAAAAAAAAAACTCCATTGTTTTAAATTCCCTCCAGGAGCGCTTCATTAACCAGGAAAGACTGACTCATCACAGAAGAGATGAGAAGTTGACACCACTCCCAAACTTTGTTATAAACTATCATAGCCCCCATCTACTCTTCTAAGGGCTATTAATCTTTCCTAAAAATCATTTACTGTTACTTTAGTGGCCTGTATCCCGTCTCCCCTTCCCTTATTAAGACGGTATGTAAGCTCTCAAATCTCACCGTGTTTTAGGGTACTTATTCACTTTTTTTTCCTGATATTACTGTGCATGTAACATTAAAAAACTTAATAAATTTGTATACCTTTTCTCCTGTTAATCTGCCTGTTGTCAGTTTATTTCATAAACGCAGGTATCAAGCTTAAGAAGGTAGAGGGAAAGTCCTTCCTTCCCTA